TATGTTATATTCTATCGTCTTGTCCTGTTTTGTCCTTGATTGCATCCCGCATCCACTTGAGTCGAGCTGTTGCTTTGTAATGTCCATACCAATGTAAGTACTTACGTGAGCTTCTTCTTTGAAAGGGGTCAAAAGGGCTTTGGCTAAGGAACATAGAATACAAAGAGGAGCAAGTAAACGAGCACAGAGAGAAAGAGACGCGTGTGCGCTCTCATTCTCTATCTCCTTCTCCTTCTCCCTCTCCTCCCCATCCTACCTCTCTCTTTCTCTCTCTTTCTCTCTCTCTCTCTCTCTTTCTCTTTACGTTCATATTACCATTATATAGAAAATGGTAATTCTAAATGGAACAAAGGATTCTACGTTCCATGGCTCGTAGAATCCGAAGATTGAAAGTTAGGAGGATTTCCAAATGGATATAATCTAAACGAATTAGAATTAACCAGAATGAGAGAAGAGGTACGACGAGGAACGTTAATAATATTTGTTTCATTTTTAAACGACAAATTTTCGTTTTTGTATTAATATGCCATTTATTACGATTAATGGAAATTAATTTTCGTTCGATGGTATTAAAGTATAATAAAGATTAAAGAAGTTACATTGGAAGTTAAAATAACGATTATGTTGTAATAATATCGAGATAGTACGGTGGCACGAAGTATCGAGGAGAAAAGTAGGGGTACCGATAAATTCGTTCTTTCAAATACTTAACCCACTTTCGACTTTTAGAATCGCGAAGCATGGAAGTGTAAAGGTTGTTGAAAAAGGGGTAAAAAAAAAAAAAAAGAAAAAAAAAAGAAAAAGATAAAAGAAGGGAAAGGAAAAAAAAAGTAGGTAGAAGAAGCAAAAAAGTGGCGAGAGAGAGAGAGAGAGAGAGAGAGATAAATGGAGAAAAAGAAAGAAGTATCAGAAGCTACGAATCCAAAAGTTTGTCGATTCGAAATCAATACGTAGCTTGTGTGTTGTCTACAACTGTTGGTAGTAAGTGTTGGTAGAAGAGTCAATGCGGTGCTGTCGTCTCCCTAGAGACTGCTGAGCAAGCTGCACTGCCTCAATACATTGCGGATTAGATCGTTGTAGCTCTAGTTACTAAAGAGAGAGAGAGAGAGAGAGAGAGAGAGAGAGAGAGAGAGAGAGAGAGAGAGAGAGTTATCCTACATGCCAAGTTATGATACTTACACAACCATGCTGTATAGCATAACTGAGCGCGAAGTCTAAATTATTTAATACTCGAGTGTTATGTTCGTCCTTGGTACTAAAATCCTTAATAATTAGTAACGTCTATATAAGGATAATCTCAATTTGTTCTTCGTTTTAATTATTATTACGTATTATAATAGTCATTATAATAAATGTTTAAACGACAGATAATGGAAGCAAAAGTAATATCTATATATATGTGTAAAATTTAAACTTATTTTAACTGATATAGAATCGGATTTGTCTATAAAAATGAAAAAAAAAAAAAAAAAAAAAGAAAAAAGAAAAAAAGAAATAAAATAAAAGATGAAAATAAATAAATAAAAAAAGAGAGAAAAAAGAAAAGAACTAAGAATATATGTATATATATATATATATATATATATATATTTATATATATGTATGCTATATGTAAAGTATTATTTTTATATATATTCTCTAAGTTAGGTCATTTTGTGATTACAATTTATCGACGTGGTACGTTGTTACCGTTCGAGTTGTAAACTCGATGAGTACAACACGTGCGCCGATCAGGTAGCGAGCTTAACATTTAATTCCTCTTAATTGCTTAGATAAGCGTTTCAAGCGACGTTCATGCGACAATTATCACGGAACGATATACATTGATTATTATGCGATACGATGAAAGCACACACACGCGCGCACACATACATATATATATACATACTTATACATATAGTTCTTTTTTCTTTAAGAAGAAACGTACCAAATAACGAACAATAGCAAAATGGTAATCAAATAAAATTTGATTAGACTTCTTTTTGTTCTTTTTCTTTCTTTTTTCTTTTTTTCATTTTCCTTTTTTCTATTTTTCTCGTTTTTTTTTTTTTTTTTTTTTCTTTTAACAACGCAATATGTCACAATCATCATGCAAGAAGGAATGTGTCACATTAACTAATTCTAATTCTCAAACGCGTATTCTCATTATCACTGGAATGCAATATGCGTTAAGCCTTCGATGATTTTATCGATAGACATGTGGATAATTTTTATTTAATAAACAAATAAATCAAAAGGAATATATAAATAATCAGAATAAATGAAATTTTAACGTTTTTATGTAACAATCATAATGCTTACGTGAAAAATTTCTTTTACGTAGTAGTTCGATAAAAACTTGAAAATAATATCATTGAGATTTTATATTACGAAGAGACAAATACAGTATAACGTATAGATAGATATACAACATACAAACATACACACACACATACACATTCACGTGTGCACATATGCATATATATTATAATATATAAATACGCACACATGTATACAAAATATATATATATATATATATATGTATATAAAAAATATATGTATATATACATATATATATGGACACAAATATGTTTGTATATTTAAGTATATTCTCCATATGTAAAAAAAATATATATATATATATATATATATATATATATATATATACACATATTCAGAGATTTAAATGTTTCAACGGATTGAAGAGAACAGCTGCATTTAACTAATGTAAACATATAGGAAGTAGGTGTGCCGAAGAGAGGAAAGAGGGATGGTGGTGGTGATAGTGGTGGTGGTTAAGTTATAAGCAGCAGGGTGACACAAAGGATGCTAGTCTTAGTTGCCGTGGGTCAGTAGAGAGTACAGGAAGGCCAGTCGTGGATATTCCACGCTTCAAAATCGCGTGTGTTCGGAATGGTCGGTGCCACCCTAACGTGGCACGTGGGGTGATACCAGGTGTTGCCTAGACTGAGCGGGTCGATGCCGATCGTTGGCGCATGTGCGACCACCGTATTTCGTTTCCCCTCACTTCTCTCAATACTCACTCGTACGTTGCTATTGTCCCGTGTGTGTTGCTCCGTCCACTTGTGTGTGCACGTTTTTATTGTATATACGTGTACGACACACATAGTAATACCATGTAAGTACATCAATGCGTCATACATGCATACATGAATACATACATACGTACATACATGCACGCATATATATATATATATATATATATATATATGTATATATATGTGTGTACATGTATGTATGCGCATGTATGTACTGTCATTTCCACTCTCGTATACCTCTCGATTCTCTCTTCGTCTCTCTTTCTCTCTCTCTCTTTTTCCTCTCTTCTTATTTTTTTCTTTTTTTTTCTTTTCTTTTTTTTTTTCATAGAAAGGGGTTAGACATACCTTTCTTGGTTTTACAGGCCGACTTGACGTTCTTATACTATCATTCCTTCGACTACTACCACAACTACAACAAGAATAACAACAACAACAACAGCAAGTATCTACAACTTGAACGTAACGAATATTCCATAAGGATTAGAGCCCGCGCGTGCTCCACAGTTTACACGGCATTGCCTGTGTCATATCTAAGAACTGTAACGTTCTAAGCAGCTGTCACCTTTTTATGTTTCCTAATAACCATCGGTTAAAACAGTTATAGTTGTAGTTAGCAAGTGGTTAGTATGTACATGAGTTGGATTCTTTGTTAAATCGATTATAATTTCGCATTGCTGATTGACGATTACTCGAAACTTCTCTCGGATCTTCTTAAAAATTTATTCGATGCTATTTATAATACTCGAAGATTTAGAGTTATATATATATATATATATATATATATATATATACATATTTCAAAAATGGTAATATCTCTTTTGAAATAGAAGCTAGAATCGAATTTCTATTAAATAGAGTCGGCACGCGGGCGTAGAGGGAGCGGGATGGGGGGGAGGTAGGCAACCTTTCGTAGAAAATACACACCCATTGGCACGTGACAGTGACGCAGCGATTCGGGTCCCCCTCAGGCTACTACTAATCCCCTCCCCCGCCTCCTCTTCTAAACCACGACCACCCTCGTTTCATAAACTTTCGTCGTCGTGAAAGAAAATTTATGATGGAAACGCGTGCCGAGTTCGGTGGCCTTCGATCCTCTCACCTTTCGTTGTATTATTATTATTATTATTATTATTATTATTATTATTATTATTATTATTATTATTATTATTATTATTATTATTATTATTATATATATATATATATATATATATATATATATATATATTTCGAAGAAGGAAAAAAGGAGAGAAGGATAAAGAAAAAAAGAGGTATAAGAAAAATAAACAAAGAAAAAGAATTGTTACCATTACGAAAAAATACAAACGACACGATCAGAGTGATCTCCCATTAAAATGTTTTTTTTTCTATTTTTTTCTTTTTTTTCTTTTTATTTGATCCAACTACTACGTGTTAGACGAATTTCCTAGTCAAAGACCAAACACAGGGAGAAAGAGAAAGAGAAAGAGAGAGAGAGAGAGAGAGAGAGAAAGAAAGGGAGGGAGAAAAAAGTCGGGAAAAAATTCGCATGAAGAACTCTTTACGCCAGTGATGGCACACACGAGGATCGTTCCTGTTTTTTCTTTTTTTCTTTTCCCCTGTTCTTTTTCCCCCTTCTCTCTCTCTCTCTCTCTCTCTCTCTCTCTCTCTCTCTCTCTCTATACCCTCTCCCCTTTTCTTTCTGGCGCGGAAGCGTGCCGGCTCGCCAGCGAGTTATTCTGCACATAGACACGCAAACGAGCTTCTGGGTTGCGTAGTCGTGCTCGCCCTCGTGCTTGTTGCAGGAATCGAAGAGCACCATATCGTGGCACCCTCGAGGGGTTGCGCAGACAAGCTCTTTCTCTTTCTCTTACCCCCGCCTTCCTCTCATCCTCTCTCTCTCTCTTTCTTTCCTTCTAGCGTGGATCAGCAGCAGTGGCAGTAGTAGCAGCAGCAGCAACAGCAGCAGCAGCAACAACCACCACCACCACCACCACCACCACTATCACTACCACTACTGTTGCTACCACTACCACCGTTACTACCACTACTATTGTCACTACCACCAGCAACGATAGGACGGACGACGGTAGCGCCCTCTCTCAACGTTCTCGATTCGATGGCAGCCGCAACGGAGGGACGACAGGGGTGCCGAACCAGTCTCTTTCTCTCTGATTACGAGAGGGAGAGAAAACGTTCGCGTGTTTCGGTGTAAAAAGGGTGGAGGAGGAGGAGAAAGAGGAAGAAGAGAGGAAGAAGAAGAAAAAGAAGAAGAAGAAGAAGAAGAAGAAGAAGAAGAAGGACGTGGATAAAGCGTGGATTGGTGGAGGGGTGTATCCGGTAGGAGCGCAGTGCCAGACCGACAGTCGCACCCCGTCTTCGTCGTCGTCGTATTCGAAGCCACCCCACAATTGTCATTGCGCGGTGTGTGACGGAGAACGTCACCGAAAGCAATCAAGTTGGAACGAAGGAAGGAAGGAAGGGAGGAAGGGAGGAAGTAACGTTGGAATGGATGGCTGAGATCGGTGTTAATCAAAATATACGATATAGAAAGAATTTGAACGATTTAGTAAAACGATCGGCAAGTTTTCCGAAAGGGCGGGGGCGCGAGAAAGAGGGTGTTGGAGATAAATAGGGTAAGAGAGGTAGAGGGGGTGAGAAAGAGATAGACATAGAGATAGAGATAGAGAGAGATAGATAGATAGATAGATAGATAGATAGATAGTTATATATATAGAGAGAGAGAGAGAGAAAGAGAGAGAGAGAGAGAGAGAGAGGGAACGAGCGCGAGCTAGAGTTTCGGCTGGCATGGTGGCGGTGCATCCGGTTAAGGAGCTGCCCTCGCCGTGCCCATGACGAGGCTGCAGATCTTCCACCAGCGTCAGGCAGAAAAGACGAAGCCGGTGTGGCTGGGAGCGTCGAGGAAGGCCCGCTCCGTCATCCGCATCCGCGAGGAGCTCAACGACGACGACGACGAGGACAAAGAGAAGAAGAGAAAGAAGAACGGGTTCGAAGTTCCTCGTCCTACGACGACGGCAGTGAGCGACGGACGGCCGCGACGGAGACGTCGGCGCCGTTACGACGACGTCGACGACGAGTTGTGCTGGGACGTTCCTGAGGACGGTGCCGTCGCCGGAGCCGTCGTCGTCGAGCGTTTTCGCGGGTGCATTAGGTGTTGCGTTATTTGTGGGTGCTACGGGTGCCGGTGTTGGGAATACACGTCAACAAATTCCCTTCCTCTTCTTTTTCCTCCTCTTCTTCTTCTTCTTCTTCTTCTTATTATTATTATTATTAAAAATAATCGGGGATTACAAGATTCGTAATAATAAGCAACCTCGTGGGCAGCTGCTGCCGCCTTCTCAATATGCCGCGTTGCCTCATGGCCAAGAAATGGAAGGCTTATCCCTGGCCCGATCGGCTCGATGATCAGCAACACGAACAAAACGGATCGGTCGGTATCGAACAGGAACATGTTAACACCACGACTACCGGTCATGATCTTCATAGAAATTCTTCTTCGTTGGTTATGGACAAGAAAACTAATAGACAACATCACGAGCCCGAGGAGGAGGAAATTGACGTTGTTGGTGACAGCGATAACAGGCAGGTCGATCATCAGCAAACCTGTTGGGGTCCTCATAGTCCTACCGCTGGTGCTACCGCGCCAAGTCCACCACCGTTGAATGCTTCTGGCGCTCTTTATTATCACGGTGAGGCATCTTACTATATTTTATTATCCCAATAATAACATCATTTAGTCCTGTGGTTGTCAATTACTTTCGACAAATATATATATATATATATATATATATATATATATATATATATATATATATATATTCCCTCGTTTTCCATTTCCAAGGTTAACTAGTACGGGAAAAAAAGAAAAGAATGAAAAAAAAAGAAAGAAAAAAGAATAAATATGTCGAGTCTCGCTCGAAAGAAAGAAAGAAAAAAAAGAAGAAGAAAAACAAGCAAAAAAGAGAAAAAAAGGAAGAATAAAAAACAAGATAGATACATAGATGAACGGATAGATAAATCGACTGGATATAAAAGTTTCGTCGTGGAAAAGCATTATTGTTATCTATTTGACGAAAAGTTCCGCGAGCTAACCAGCTAACTCCGACCGCCTGTTACGTAATTTCGATTGCTTTTCAGTCCAACCGCTTCTCGGATACACACTTATATATTACAGCTTTGTTATACCAATCGATATTCTTTTACCGAACGATGGAAAGCACACGAACGATTAGAAATATCTCATAATCTTTTTCCTCATAATCTTTCTTCTTTTTCATCTTCTTCTTCTTCTTCTTCTTTTTCTTCTTTTATTACTTCTTTTTTCCTTCCTCTTTTTCGTTTGCTTTTTATTTTTTCCCTTGCTTTTTATTTCTTCCCATTTTCTTTCCTTTTCTTTTCTTTTCCCTTAAATCTCTCTCTCTCTCTCTCTCTCTCTCTCTCTCTCTCTTAATGCCACGCCCAC